AATGGTAAAGAACCCGACTGCCCGTGCAGGAGACTCAGAGAACGTGAGTTCGATCCCTGGGTGGGGAAGATCCCCTGGAGAAGGGCATGGCAATGCACTCCAGTATTCTTGCCTGGGAAGTCCCATGGACAGAGGAGCCTGGCGGGCTACAGTCCACGGGGTCGCAAAGAATCGGACATGACTGAGGGATTAAGCATATCAAGTTCAGTTCAGTCGCTCAGTCATGTCCGACTCTTTGCGACGCCGTGGACTGCAGCCCGCCAGGCCTCCCCGTCCATCACCAACTCCCCGAGTTTGCTTAAACTCATGTCCATCAAGTCGGTGATGCCATCCAACTATCTCGTCCTCTGTCGTACCCTTCTCCCACCTTCAATCCTTCCCAGCGTTGGGGTCTTTTCCAATGATTCAGTTTTTCACATCGGGTGAAAAGCTTCCTTCCCCTTCATCCCCCTTCCTTCTTTCATTCCCTGTTCTTCCTTCCCCTTCCTCCTCCTTCCTTTCATTTCCTTCCCCTTCCTTCCTTCCTTTCAGCTAGAAAGGAGACATTATGAGGCTAAGAACATGCTCTTTGCACTTGACGGCTGCTCAATAAATCCCCTGCTGGCTCAGTCAGTAAAGAATCCGCCTGCAATGCAGGAGGCCTGGGTTTGATCCCTGGGTCTGGAAGATCCTCTGGAGAAGGGACCGGCTCCCCACTCCAGTATTTTTGCCCAGGAAATCTGATGCACAGAGGAGCCTGGTGGGCTACAGCCCATGGGGCTGCAAAACGTCGGACACGACTGAGCAACTAAACCACCACCTAACCAAAGCGTGAGGATTGGAGATAAACAAGCCCACAATGAACGCTTACAGCATTTAGGTGTTTCTTCTTTGGAGTATGTCCTCGTGGCGCTACCAGAAGCAGTTCCTGGACATACAAAGTCATCAGGGGCACACACAGACGTCTCTTAACTCCTCACTGGATCTGTGGGATTCCACTCGAGGCTCTGACAAATTACGACAGCAGCTTAGCAGATGTTGCGTACAATCGGCACTGATGGAATTCTATACATTGCGTCTCCCAAGGCTCCCTTCCGAGTCGCCTGGTAACAGAAAGTTTCTCAACAAATGTGAGACAAATGTAAACAAATCCTAAAAAAGGAAGTCTCGCTTTTCTGGGGGGGGAAGGATAGACATTTCCGTGTTTATTCAAAGCGGCCAGCAACGCTCCTGCCCCCAGGGGGGCCCTAGGGACTGCCCACCGGGAAAAACCTTTCTCTGGGTTACACAAAAGTTTTCTTTCACACATCTCTGTTTACCCTCATGTTCACAAACAGAGGGACGGCAATTTCACCTTAAGACTGTTTACACATTTGGACCACGCTTTTTCAGCCTATTTTTGTGCAGGTGCTTCCAGAGGGAAGGAATCCTGAATTCAGTGCTGGAAGTCTTCAGGGAGGCAGAGTTTGGTACGTGGAATTTTCATCTGCAAACATCTCTGGGAATCTGAGATCAGTGCTGGGAAGACACTTGGACACCAGGTGGGAGACTTCCTGGTTAATTTCCGAGGTTAACTTACCAGAGCCGTGGGCGTGACCTCTCTGAATGAGGACAGATGAGGTGGTACCTATTTTGTTCTGCTCATCATTTTTTTTAACACAAAACATCTAGTAAGAGCTAATCCAAATGGTCAAATGTATATGTAGAAGGAAGGTGTACTTTTCCTGAATAATGCTAGCTAGGGTTGACAGCAGAAATAGGGACCTTAGGCTTGTGTGGGTTTATTTATAACATGTGGCATGCCCCACCTATTTCGTCTTTTTTGTTCGAGGATCAGAATCAAACCATTTGGGTCGCCTGCAAGACAGGTCGTCTGGGCTGATTCTGAAAGAGTCTGGACCCAGGGACTCACACTTGGATCACCATCAATGATAGCACGTGGCTCTGTGGAAGTGGGATGTGAGAACTGGCTTCTTTCTTGGATAATCAATTTGCAGATTACATAAAACGTGATGCAAAGTGAATAAAGCTTCAGTATGCGCAGAACCGACTGTTATAGCTCTAACTGTGTACCCCTGCAACTGCATAGGTTGGTAGTCCCACCCCACGGTAACGGCTCAGAATGTGACGGCGTCTGGAAGAGGGTCCCTGCAGATGTCCTTCGTTAAGACGAGGTGGTGCTGGAATACCGTGAGCCCCCTAATCCAATATGACCGGGTCTGCACGAAAAGGAGACATCAGTCCAACCGAAGCTGGCAGACAGGCTGGAGCAGACCCCCGTGCGGCAGACAATCGCGGGAAGAAAGCAAGCCAGCTGGCACCCTGCTTCGGACGGCTGTCCTCCACGGCGCTGGGACGGTGCATTTCTGTTCAAGCCACCCCACCCAAGTTACCCCACACCAATTCTGTACACGGATCTGTAACCAGCCTACAAACGCTCTCTCTGTGGTCGGGACCAAGGATGCCAAACACCCCACCCCCATATATACACACACCGTATTTATATAGCAGCCCACACATGCCCTCCCTATGATGGGGGCTGAGAAAACACCGTCACCCCACTCCCCATGTATATACACCATATGGATACACCAGCCCACACATGCCCTCCCTATGGCGGGGGCTGAGAACACCCAATCACCCCAGCCCCATATATATACACCATATGTATACACCAGCCCACACATGCCCTCCCTATGGTGGGGGCTGAGAACACACAATCACCCCACTCCCCATGTATATACACCATATGTATACCCTAGCCCACAAATGCCCTCCCTATGGTGGGGGCTGGGCAAACATATTCACCCCACCCTCCATATATATACACCATATGTCTACACCAGCCCACAAATGCCCTCTCTATGGTGCAGGGCAAGAACACCCAATCACCCCAGCCCCATATATATACACCATATGTATACACCAGCCCACAAATGCCCTCCTTATGGTGGGGACTGGGCAAACACAATCACCCGAGCCCCATATATATACACCATACATATATCCCAGCCCACAGACATGCTCTCTAGGATGCAGGGCAAGAACACCCAAATACCCCACCCTGCATATATATACACACCATACGTATACACCAGCCCATAAATACCCTCTCTATGGTAGGGGCCAAGAACACCAATCACTCTACCCTCTCTCTATAGATGCTGCTGCTGTTGCTAAGTCACTTCAGTTGTGTCCGACTCTGTGCGACCCCATCCCTGTATATGTATACACCATACATATACACCAGACCACAAAAGCCCTTCCTATGGTGGGGCCTGAGAACATAAAATCACCCCACCTTCATATATATACATCATGTGTATCCACCAGCCCATAAATATCCTCCCTATGCTGGGCACCAAGAATAGCAAACACCCCACCTATCTCTCTCTCTCTCTCTGTGTATATGTATATACACACACACACCACATTTATGTTTGCTCGGGTGCTTAGTCGCTCAGTCATGTCCAATGCTTTGCAACCCCATGGTCTGCAGCCAGCCAGGCTCTTCTGTCCATGGGATCCTCCAGGCAAGAATCCTCGAGTGGGTTGCCATGCCCTCCTCCAGGAGGTCTTTCTGACCCAGGAATTGAACTCGGGTCCTCTGCAGTGCAGGCGGATTCTTTACCAGCTGAGCTACCAGGGCAGTCCCCATATGCATGCACCAGCCCACAGATGCCTTTCCTGTGGTGGGGGCTGAGAACACTCAAATCACCCCAGCCCCCATGTATATACACCACATGTATACACCAGCCCATAAACATCCTCCCTATGGTGGGGGCCAACGACACTCTATCACCCCACCCTATAATATATATACCATACATATACAGCCGCCCGGAAATGCCTACCCTATACTGGGGGCTGAGGACATGAAATCACCCCACCTCCATATATATACACCATATGTATGTGAAGTTAAAGTCGCTCAGCCGTGCCCAACTCTTTGCAACCCCATGGACTATACAGTCCATGAAATTCTCCAGGCCAGAACACTGGAGTGGGTAGCCTTTCCCTTCTCCAGGGGATCTTCCCCACCCAGATCTCCTGCATAGCAGGTGGATTCTTTACCAGCTGAGCCACCAGGAAAGCCCATATGTATACACCAGCCCATAAATACCTTCCCTATGATGGGTGCCAAGAACACCAATCACCCCACTCCCATACACACACACCATATTTATATATCAGCCCACAAATGCCTACCCTATGGTGGGGGCTGAGAACACCCAATCACTCCACCTCCCCATGTATATACACCATATGTATACACCAGCCCATAAATACGCTCCCCTGTGGTCGGGGCCAAGAACACCAACCGCCCCACCCCCATATAGATGCACCATACGTATACACCAGACCACAAATGCCCTCCCGAGGGTGGGGACCCAGAACACCAAATCCTCCCCGCCCCTCATCACATCTATCACAACTGCTCTTGATCTTAATGGGCTTCCCTTGTGGCTCAGCTGGTAAAGAATTTGCCTGCAGTGCAGGAGGCCTGGGTTGTATCCCTGGGTGGGGAAGATCCCCCGGAGAAGGGAAAGGCCACCCACTCCAGTATTCTTGCCTGGAGAATCCCATGGACAGAGGAGTCTGGTCGGCTATAGGTCTTTGGGTTATGAAGACTCAGGACTGAGTGACTAACAGTTGACTTCACTTTATTAGATACCCGCTCCAGTATTCCGGCCTGGAGAATCCCACGGACTGGATAATCCACGGGGTCGCAAAGAGTCGGACACGACTGAGCGACTTTCACTTTCCCTTCACTTGATCTTCATTCATTCATTCATTCAGGTGAACAGAAATGTCAGCAGAAACGAGAGCACGTTCCCTCATCTCGCCGCAGGAGCAGCACGGGCCCAGGCCCTTCGGTCCTCTGAATAAGAGCATCCCGAGCTCTCTCTTCTCTATAGCCCGCGTTTGCCGTCCGTGGTTGCCGGCCCCTGCACATGGCGCGTTGGAAGAAGACGTCCCCCCCCCACCCCGCCGCTCCGGGCAGGACGCCGGCTTCTTACCTGACTCCTGGAGATATCGGTACACCAGGAAGTTCACCTCGTCACTGGTAATGCTCATCTTAGCCTCACCTGGCGGCGATGAGGTCTTTACGAAGCAGCAGCCACCACCCTCTGTCGGAAAAGGCGAGAGGAGAAAACGGAGACATTTCAGACACTGCCTACATGTTCCTCCTACATGTTTCTTTAGGAAAACAATTGACACATGTAATACTCAGGAGGTAACTAATGCCCGATTCCTGTCGTATGTTCTGGTGACATAAAGGGCTTTATAATTCTCTAAACATATACACATACAGGTGAAAACTTTCCCCTGTATTTCCTGGTGACAAAGTTTTTATAATTACCTAAACATGTACACATATAGGTGAAAATTTTCCTCTGTATTTTCTGGTGACATAAAGATTTTACAATTCTCTGTTTTTTTTTTCATTTATTTTTATTAGTTGGAGGCTAATTACTTTACAATATTGTAGTGGTTTTTGTCATACTCAATTCTCTAAACATATACACCATACAGGTGAAAATTTTCCCCTGTATTTCCTGGTGACATAAAGCTTTTATAATTATCTAAACATATAAAAATACAGGTGAAAAATTTCCCCTGTATTTCCTGGTGACATAAAGCTTTTATAATTATCTAAACATAATAAACATACAGGTGAAAAATTTCCTCTGTATTTTCTGGTGACATAAAGCTTTTATAATTATCTAAACATATAAAGATACAGGTGAAAATTTTCCCCTGTATTTCCTGGTGACATAAAGCTTTTATAATTACGTAAACATATAAACATACAGGTGAAAAGTTTCCCCCCAAATATGAGTTGATGCGTTTTATAATGCTGGCACGGACTCGTCTATAAACCACATTAACCACATTAATGGAGACAAAACCAGGGGCACCAGAAAATGAGCACAAACACTGTGACTTGATTTACTGAAGATCCCGCGTGCGATAGGATCACACAGCAGTTCCTACCAAGCTTCAGCGGAACCCCAGGACAGACGGTGGCTGGTTGCACCGGCTGGCCCTTCCCTGGACAGACGAGGGAGATTACCGGGGGTACCCCCGCAGTCCTGCCAACACCGCCAGGTGGGGGGACCACATGGCCCCGGTCACACCTGTGGGTCTGCAGCAGAGATGACTCACAGCAACCTCCCACGCATCAAAGTTCCGTGCCGAACCACACGGTCACCGAACCGACAGGGTGCATGTGGCCCTGAGACACACATCACTGAGGCACTGCGTCATCGACACAATGACGTGACTTCTATTAAGAGGCGGGGAGTCAGCAAGCCGCCCCACGGACACAGAGGGAACTGACAGCGTTTGATTCCGCGGCAGACTGGCCGAGATCACGGCATCTTCAAGGATGGACCGAGCGCTCCCCGGGACCCAGGGGCAGGAAGCTCGCCCTCTGCGCCTGCCCCGTGGACGGTAAGGTGGCAGGTGTCAGCCTGTGTAGTCGGCCAAGCAGGATTCTTTCGGAGCTCAGAACGCTTGTGCGTGCTAAGTCGCTTCAGTCGTATCTGACTCTGCGACCCCCATGGACTACGTGTAGCCCCGCCAGGCTCCTCTCCAGGCTCCTCCGTCCCTGGGATTCTCCAGGCAAGGATACTGGAGTGGGTTGCCACGCCCTCCTCCAGGGAAACGCTTATGCTGGCTGCAACGAAGTTAGGGGAATGCCAGCGATGGTTCGGATCTCCAAGGACTGATCGACTGGCTGGAGTTAAGGGGAATCAAGTCCTGAGGGAGCCAAGGAAAACAGAGAACGTGGGACTCGGGGTGTGGGGGGCGCCTGAGGCTGAGCCAGGAGGCCTGATGCTGACTGCACCTTCATCCCTATGGGGCTGTGGACCAGAGGACTCAGTTTTCCACCTCTGCCAAGCTGCGGATGCTAAGACCCGCTGCCCCCCCTGCCGGGAAGGTGGTGAGGATGACGTGCTTCTACACACACTTCCAGACCAGGGCCCTGAGCCCCGGAGAGGCGCAGGAGGGCTCTAAAGGGCTCTTAATCCTACTCTGCACCCCCCACCCCGCCGCAAGCATCATCAAAGCAGAGAGACCACCTTCCCCCTCCCCGAGGAACACGCCTCCAAAAACAACAACAAAAATGGGTTCTTCATTAGTGACATGGAGTTTGTTTTCGTGCCTGACCCAGTTTTGAGTGCTCCGTCATGCCCGACTCTTTGTGACCCCCGTGGACCGTGGCCCGCCAGGCTCCTCTGTCCATGGGATTTCCCAGGCAAGGATATCGGAGTGGGTTGCCATTCCCTTCTCCAGAGTTTTCATCGGAGGCACCTCTTCATTAGGTACATCTGTGGTCTTTGCAGTTGTGACTGTGCAGAAAGGAAATGACCATCTTCCCTGCAAAGTAAAAACCACACATTCCCTCACTGTTCTGGTTTCAGAAGAAGAAAAAAATCTGTGTGAGCCGATGACACATCTGGAGTCTTCCTGCTTAACATGAGTATTCCAACATAAATAACCACTGGGGGCTGAAATCCATCAGGAAGCTGAAGGGAAGATTATTTACGGTATTTTTCTTTTTTTAATAACTTAATTTCCAGGTGGCAAAAAACTCTTAATAACCACGGTCACAAAACAGTTCAAAATTCAGTTGCAAGAGAAGTTGTGTCTATGATATTATACTTGAAATGGAGAACCAGCAAGGACCTGCTGGCCAGCACAGGGAACTCTGCTCAATACTCTGTAATAACCTTATGGTCACCAGGGGGAAGGATCGGGGAAGGGATGGTCAGGGAGTCTGGGATGGACATGAACACACGGCTGTGTTTAACATGGAGAACCAGCAAGGACCTGCTGGCCAGCACAAGGAACTCTGCTCAATACTCTGTGATAACCTGATGGTCACCAGGGGGAAGGATGGGGGAAGGGATAGTTAGGGAGCTTGGGATGGACGTGGACACCCTGCTGTGTTTAACATGGAGAACCAGCAAGGACCTGCTGGCCAGCACAGGGAACTCTGCTCAAGACTCTGTAATAACCTTATGGTCACCAGGGGGAAGGATGGGGGAAGGGACAGTCAGGGAGTCTGGGATGGACATGGACACGCTGCTGTGTTTACCATGGAGAACCAGCAAGGACCTGCTGGCCAGCGCAGGGAACTCTGCTCGATGTCACGTGGCAGCCTGGACGGGACGGGAGTCTGGGGGAGAAGGGATATATTTAATGTACGGCTGAGTCCCTCTGCCTTCCACCAGAAACTATCGCAATGTTGTTAATCGGCTGCACCCCAATACCAAATAAAAAGTTATAAAAAGTTAAAAAAATAGATGAGGTTTTCTTAAAAAACAGAGAGAGTGGGAAATGGTGTCTAAGGGTTTGGCTCTTATTGTGTGTACAGTATTTAACATGCTCTCATGCTCTGGGAAGGGACAGGACCGCTCCCCAAACAACAAAATCTGAACTGCTCTCTGATGATCTTCAAGGATGTGATGACCACGGAGCCACTTGAGCGCCGGCTCTGCGAGATGAAGACAGAAAGGGCGAGTGAGTTTCCCTGCCCACGGGCGAGGAGCCTGCTTCGGAAACAGTGATGGAAGAAGCACACAGTGACTCTGGGGCAGGGAGCGTGGTGCTCAGCGTGATATCATTCGTGGCAGAAGTTTCTCTCTTAGCAATCGGTGCCGTTAGGATGCGGTCTCTGAACATCCTTTCGTGCAGCCCCTTCCGTGGTTCTCCAGGGATGGAAGAAAAAGTTGGTCTGAGGTCTTGACTCTGCTAGGACTCTGCTGGCCTGGACGCTGGAAGAATGCATCGTGTAAAGTGATTTTCTGGATGAGGCTCAGGGCTCTGGGACTTGATTCCACGCAGAGGGTGCAGAGCCAGAGTTGCTGGAAAACCGGCGATAAATGACCTCATTGCAGCAAGGCGCTTTCACAAATTCTCTGCTGACTGCAATGCAGTAGGATCTCACCTCCTGGCTTCCCTTTTCCATAACATTGGGGGTGGTTTACCGATCAGTTGCCTTCATCTCTATGCGACCCCATGGACTGTAGCCTGCCAGGCTCCTCTGACCATGGGCTTCTCCAGGCAAGAATACTGGGGTGGGTTGCCATTTCGTCCTCCAGGGGATCTTCCCGACTCAGAGATTGAACCTGGGTCTCTTGCACTGCAGATGGACTGTTTACTGACTGACCCACCAGGGAAGCCCATAACATTGCTCTCTCTTTTCAAATGGAAACTGTGTTTCCCAGTGGCCAGTTATGAGACGAGAAGTTTAACATGTGCATCAACATTTACATATAAATCCTTTTGTACACACTGCTGGAGACTAAGGTGAAGAGGAAGCAAGCCTTTTTCATCATGTTGCACACCCGCTCTGCTTGCATTAACTGAAACGAAGCCGCCAAGGAACTGCTGAAAAACTACTGCAAACTTTTTTTGTTGTCCAATGATAGTAATGAGTACGATTCAATACACGATGGTGTTTATAGCTGGACTTCAGTTATTGCAGAATATATAAATAGAATAGTTTGGACAGGGAACAAGAAAATATCAACAGTGGTTTCCCCTTCTTTTCTTCCCCTATAGACTCATCTTCATTTTACTAAAGAGTATTTGCATGCATGTTATTCTATAGTAAGAAAATGAGTCCCCCCAAAGGTAAGATTTTTCACTAATTTTATAGTTATATTTATTTACTTGGGAGCCAAATGGTCCAAAATTATAAACATAATCAAAGAACTATTATTTCCTCACCAGAGTTCACATGTCCAGCAGTGGCATGCGTGCGTGCTCACTTGTTTCAGTCGTGCCCGACTCTTTGCAACCCTACAGACCTTCGCCCGCCAGGTTCCTCTGTCCATGGGATTCTCCAGGCAAGAATGCTGGAGTGGGTGGCTCTGTTCTCCTCCAGGGGATCTTCCCAACCCAGGGACTGAAATCACGTCTCTGATGTCTCCTGCATTGGCAGGCGGGTTCTTAACCACTAGCGCCACCATTTTCATGAGAGAATGAAGTAACCTGGTAAGATTGCAGCCCTCAAAAGGATTTTCATGACCGAGGACGATGTCCACGATACAGTGCTATGT